GTGTTTCCTCGGGACTTGATCTCCACAGTGCTCTCAGTGAGCATGCTTACATGGAGTTACCCGTAAGTTAAAGCCTCTGTGAGCTTCTTGACTCCTGATGGAGGGAACAGGCCACTGGCGGGCTCTAGCAGCAGAGGGAAGCAACCCAGTCTGTGTTCGGGATGGTCACAGCTCAGCCTCCGGGAGGCAATCACCGGGAGCAGGGGCAGCCAGAGGACAGGGAGAGACGGGAGAACGCACAGGTTCCGGACATGGTCCGGTGTGAACAGGGAGAGAAGAGGGGAGCTGGCTTCCATTCCAAGTCCATGAAGAACCATAGCTGGGTGCACCAACACTGTCCCCTGGGGGAGGGACCTAGGGACGAGCCACCAGAGCAGCTGTGTTTGCCAAGAGGGTGGAACTCTGGGGTATCAGAGGCCCTAAGAACTGTCGTGGGTTTTTTTCTTTAAAAATTTTTTAATGTTTACTTTTGAGAGAGAAACTGGGGGGGGGGGGGACAGAGAGAGAGGGAGACACAGAATCGGAAGCAGGCTCCAGACCCTGAGCTCTCAGCACAGAGCCCAATGCGGGGCTCAAACCCACAAGCTGTGATATCATGACCTGAGCCAGCGTTGGACCCTTAACCGACCGAGCCGCCCAGGTGCCCCAAGAACAGGTGTTTTCTGTCCTCACTGTCTGCATGCACTCTGAGGCAGGTAAAGTAACATGTGCCCTGTGTCCTGGGAGCAGCACGTGAGAGCTAACCCTCCCTTCTGTCAATCTCACCTGTTTACAGAGCTGGGGACACCCTGGCATCCCCATCCAAGAGGCAGGTGGTCCCGGGCCCCTGGGCCAGACCAGACCCAGAGGCCACCCATCTCCACCACAAGTAAATGACTGTATCTGCTTCACCCTGACTCCCAGACGCCCTAGAATTGGCTGGCTGGGCTGTGTTAGATCCTCCCCACCGCCGGGCTCCCCGGGCCCCAGCACCACACACAGACACCATCCAGTGGAAACTGTTGGGCAATAAGAGCCATTAAGAAAAACAACCACTCCCTGCCCAGTCAGCTGCCCACCGGCTGTTGGTGCCTCCCTCTGTGTCATGCAACTGGGGGCCCAGCCCCTCATTCCTGACTGGAGCGCCAGCTGAGTTCCAGACCCTCTCTCTCCCAGTTCCCCAGCTTAGAAGCAGCGGCAGCACCCAGAGAGGAATCCCAGCGAGCTATTATTCATGCTCACCGTTCTGGAATCAAGTGACGATGCTGGAGCGGACCCTGATTTAGACTCCAGAGTGGCCGGAGCTGCTGGAGCTCTCGCCCTATGTGCCCCGGCTTCTAGAGCTCGAGCACCATGCAGCTCGCCCCACTTCCTCCAACTGGGACAGTTGACTGCTAGGCGAGGGGGCTTCCGCAGACCTTGTCCCTTAGGTGAGCCCCCGCCACACACAGCAAGCCCTACCCCGAGAGCTAAGAGCCAGGGCAACCGGAGCAAACGGAGGACAAGCTGGGAAGCTCATTCTCAAAGACAGACTGGCTCTGGGATGAGACACAGATTGAGTGCACATGTCTGAGGAGCCAAAGCCATGGGGCTTTTGCAAGGAGGCCTCCCGGAAGGAGGTGTCCCAGCAGGCAGTTGCAGGCTGTGTGTGCAGCGTGTGCACCCTCCCCTCCACTCCGGAGCTCTGAGGACCTGCAGAAGATAGGATTGGGGGGAGCAGATGCGAGGCAAGAGACTCTGGGCTTAGCAGGAAGTTGTGGAGGGTGGGAAAAGGCAAAGCCCTGCTGACCTCGCGTGTCTGGCGTATGGAGGCTACTGCACTGAGGAGGCCCCTCCAGCTGTCTGCCCTCTCCTTGGTGAATTTCACCTGCAGCCCTGCAGCCCTGGTGGAGATCAAGAACACAATGGCCTAACTGTGACAGCCGTGAGACTCCGAACTCCATGACCAGCAGGGAGCTTAGCGTCTCGGTGGGACACAGACCCTCTCGCACAGGAAAAGAGAGATGGGGGATCCCTAAACCCCACTCAGATTCCGAGTGGAGTGGCACTAGCCGGACAGCCCTTCACTCATTTGAAGATTTTCCACCAAGAGACCTGTGGCCACCAGAGGGCATCACCACCCCATAGTGTGGCATCCTGGGCTCCCTGCCCCCTCCCTGGAGAACCTGAGGAGACTGGGAGAAGGAAGCAGGCACACATCTCTGAGCTCCCAGGGGAGCACCTAGCAGCTGAATTAAATAGTCTCTGGAGTCCGGAGACCTTGGATCTGGTGCGTGCTAGTGCCTGGCCTGCCACCATTCTTCCTTCCCTGGCCTCAGTTTGCCTCCTGTGTTCAATGAATGCTTGGACCACATTGGATCATTACCAGGCCACAAAGCAGGCCCTTCCTTTCCAGCTCTCAGATTCCAGGACTTGAGGAAATCATGCAACGAGCCTCACAGAAGTTGAATTTTCTGGGCCCACACTTACTCTTGGGTTCTCTGGAGCTCTGCCAGGAAGAGGGGGAAACCTGAAGGAGGAATGTCTTTATTTATTTTGAGAGAGAGACCACGTCACAGCAGGTGGAGGGACAGAGAGAGAGGGAGAAAGAGAATCCCAAGCTGTGCTGTCAGCACAGAGCCTGACATGTGGCTCAATCCCATGAACCGTGAGATCATGACCTGAGCCGAAATCAAAAGTTGGACACTCAACCGACTGAGCCACCCAGGTGGCCCTGAAGGAGGAATGTCTGAACAGGGCTGTTAGACACAGGTGCTGTGACACCTGTGGTGTCCACTTCTCCAACTTTCAGACAAGGAGGTGTCCTTTAGGTCATCTGCCAGGATCAGTGGGGTGGTGGTCCTTCCCACAGGAGACTGGACAAGGTGCCCTTTTGCTGGTCTCTTCGGGGATAAGCTCAGGAGTGAAGAGGATAGAAACCACTGCCTCTCCTGCCTTTGCTCTCCTCCCCATCCCCACCCCCACCCCCAACACAGATGCCGTCTGTCAGGAGCAGGCAGCAGACGGTCCAGGGGTCCATCTGTGCTCATGCTTCACAATAGAGCCCCATGTTTCCCCACCAACACCCGCTCGGCCCCTCAGCTGATGGCCACTTGGTGGTGCCAAGGGGGAGGTGGGAGGAGGGAGAGGAAGGCACTGAGCTCTTGGCTCCCAGCAGCCCCTAACCCTCTGCCCCCCACCCAGCAAGCATCCTGCCATCTGGACTTGTCTAATGACAGAGGGGTGGCACAGACCCCTCCCACCCATGCCTCCTGTAGGACCTGGGGCCCCAGGGACCAGGGGCTGAGGGAACGAACGACAGAGTCAAGGAGACAAGGAAGCACAGAGACGGAGACAGACCAGGCACTGAGACCGGAGACAGCAATTCCTTCCTGGCCTCTCCCATTGGATGTGCTCATGCCACCCCATCTAACACAGCACATTTCATATAACCAGACCCATAGCCTCTGTAACCCCAGTGCCCAGCCAATACCTGGCATGGAACAGGGCATAAATGTAGGGTGAAGGAAGAACTGAAGAAGACAGCATCACATAGGGGTCAGGATGGCAGGCTCTGGCGCCAGGCTGCCTGGGTGTGAGCCTCAGTTCTGCCACTCAGTGGCCTAGAGCAAGGTACTTAACCTCTCTGGGCCTCAGTTTCCTCATCTGTGAGGTACCGATTTCCTAGGGTTGTTAGGAAGGCCAAATGAGTTAACACATGTATGTAACAGCACATGGAGAACAGTGTGCACGGCACATGCTAAATGCTCAATAAATGTCAGCTGTAAAGGCATAACACAGATTTGGGAAGACTGGAGGAGAAGGGGACAGCTGGGGACTGTACCTCCCCAGCCGCTGTTTGGTGGCCAATGGTGGGATGCGGAGGCCCCCAGCTTGTGATGCTGACGCCTTGTGGTGGCTAGCTGCTCTTTAGACGCCAAGACTGGCCTTCCACTTCCTCCTCTCACTTCTTATTTGGGCACCACTGACGACAGAGACTTCAGCTGGGCTGTCCCAGTCTCTCCCACTGCCTGGCAGCCACAGTAACACAGGGCGGGCGTGGGGGGGGAGAGAGTGGGGGGGATGGTCCCGAAGACAGGGTCAGAGAATGGTTAAGCACATCCCCCAGCCCTGAGCACCCACTCAGCTCAGGCGCATTCCCCTCTCCCTGAGTCAAGGGCACATCATTAAGATCTTTCTGCTTGGAAACGGAGTATCTGAGCTCCAACATCAGGAGCTGGGGGAAAGTTTATCCAGGAGGGACCACTCCAGACCCTCTGAGGGGACAGGCCAGAACTACGCCCACGGCTTCCTGGGTTTCCACCGCTTGCCTCTCCCCTTGACAGAAAAGGGGAGGCAGCCTCTGATCACCAATTCTGGGGCACTGGTGTAAAATTCCGGGGTCCTCACTCCCTGCGGGGTTCTGCACAGTCAGCTCAGGGGTATCTCTAACCTTCTTCATGGATCTCCCCCGTCCCCTCGTACACCCCCTTCCCCCTGCCTGGCACAGTCACCACTCTCCCCTTGCCTAAGGCCTCCTGCAGACCCCTGGATCTCCTAGACTCTTTCCCTGAGCCTCCCAACCTCCTTACAATGACCCCTTTCTGTACCCTCACCACCTGATTCTCCATGAATCTCCAAAGCAATCCATTTCTAAATTTTCAAATCTCGTGCACAAGCCCCTTCACAGATACCACACACACCCACACCCACACCCACACCCCCCCACACACACACACACCCTCTTCGGGTATCCGGGAGACCCCCTGGCCCCGCCCCAGGACGCCTGGCCCCACTCCTCCGAGGCTAGGTTTTCCCCCAGCGGGAGTTCGGGTCTTTAAGACTTTCCCCAGCCGTGCAGGGCGGCGGGCGCTGTGGGCGGGGCTCTGGGGACAGCGGCCCCCCCCTTGGGGGCGGGGCCTGCCGCTCTAGGGGCGAGGCCACCCGAGGCCGCTCCCCGCCCGCCCCCCAGCCCGCCCCCCAGCCCACCCTGCTCGCGGATCCTATAAAGGGAAGCGACCTGCCGCCCGCCCGGCCGGCCGGCAGCCCCAAGTCGCTGGCATTCCCGCTACACGGAGCGAGCGCCTCCTCCGAGGGTCTCCGGGCGCCAGAGCCATGACCCTCCGCCGACTCAGGAAGCTGCAGCAGAAGGAGGAAGCGGTGGCCCCCCCGGACCCCGCCGCCCGGGCTCCCGACTCGGAAGTCGCTCCCGCCGCTCCGGCTTCGACCCCGGCCTCTGGTCCCCGTGCTGCGGCCGCCAGCCCCGGGGCCCCCGGGGATGAACTGTACGCGGCGCTGGAGGACTATCACCCGGCCGAGCTGTATCGCGCGCTCGCGGTGTCCGGGGGCACCCTCCCCCGTCGAAAGGTGCGTCGCCATCCCCCAATCCCCATGCCCCCCTCCCAGCTCTAGGGTACCCTCCGGTGTCCCTACCCCGAGACCTGCTCAGCCCCGCAGCATCCCGCATCTGTTACCGCTGACCCCACAATATATTCCTTGGGGGCCACGGGGTCTCCCACCTTCTTCTCCAGCCCGCTCTTCCCCACCGACACGTTTCAGAACCTGCTGTCCTTCGGCGGGTCTCCCGGCCCTCTCCGAAGGCGCAAGCCTCCCGGCGCCGCGGCCCCCGCCTCCACGCCGCCCCCAATGTCGGCGGCTCCCCACTCCACTCTCCACGCGCCGCTGTCGCGTCTCGTTCCTCTCCTTCCCGACTCCTCCCGAGCACCCCCTTCTACTCGCTCCAGCTAGCCCTCAGCACCCCTGTGCCCCGCCCCCCTTCCCCCTCCCGCTCAGGTGTCTCTAGGCCCCCAGCCGCCCCCCCCACCCCCGGGCTTCTCCATTTGGAACGAGGAGGCCTAGCGCTGGGGTCCCGTCGGTCCCCCGGAGCAGCTGAGGGTCCGAGAGTCCTGGGGGGATAGAGAGGCCGGTGGACGAGAAAGTGTGTGGCGCCGCGGACTCCCGAGAGCTCACCCTTCCGAGGGAACGCCCGGATCGCTGGGCTCTGGGCCTGCCGCCTTGCCCAGAGTCCGAGGTGCGGGGCACGAGGCTACCGCGCCTGGGACTTCGCTGGGACCGGACGCGGTAGGAGGGGTCGCAGGGCGCCCGCGGGGCAGGAAGGATGCGAGCCGCGCCCGCCCTCTGAGTCTCCCCCTCCTCGAGGCCCTTCCTCTGGCCTGGGGGGACCTGAGCGTTCAGAAAGGGAGACACAAGACCCAGGTTAAGGGAGGGGGGCTGGTAGCCTTCCCTGCTCAGCACCCCACCCTGGCCCTCGGCTCCCCCCACCCCACACACAATGAACAGCTTGTTGAGAATTTGCATTTTATGAAAATCGGGTTGAAAGACAAAGGGGTCTCTCTATGCTGCCCAGTCCTTCCACCCCGGCCCATTTGGGAACTGCCCCCACCCCTGAGGCCCGTCTTTGGTTCTGGAGAAAGAGGGCTCACTTCACTTCCTAGCCTTGGAGCAGCCTGGGGGGAGGGTTAACTAGGGCACTGACCAGGAAGGCCCTGGGCTGTTGAGGGCACACGGACAAGGGCTGGCCTGGGATGGCTGCTCCCAAGGACCAATAATTTAGGGAGGGAGAGAGACTAGTTTCTCAAGGGCCCTAAGGAGGCAGGAACCCTCCGTTCTGACATTCCCTGCAACCGCACACCCCTCCCCACCCCCCCACCCCACCCCGGGGCAACCAAACAAAACCTTGCAATCTCCCTCCTTAGTGAGACTTAAGAACAAGTTTGAGATCTGTGTTTTTTGCTTTTGTCCCAGAGAGCAGCAAAATACATGGCAATGTCGAGAGACACAGGTGGAGGTGGGTGTAGCTGGCCACCTGCGGCTGGGATCTGCAGTTGCACCCCGAAACAGCCTGTACTTTGGGGGAGGAGGGTTGGCCCCACTGTCCCCTGCTTTCCCATGTTCAGGTTGGGATTGCCGGCCCCTCCACACTTGGGGCTCTGACCCCAGCTCCCCCAAGTCCCTGTCTGTGGCTGAGAAGTTCGGAGATGCCGGACTAGCAGGGGAATACCTTGAGCGGCAAGCCCAGGAGACCCCAGCGCTTCTTGGGGAACATCTGGAAAGAGCCCCTGCCTTGGCTTGCTGGGTTTGGGAGGCCTGAGCCCTGCAGACATATGCCCTAAGCGTAGAGACTATTCTTTCTAGATCAATGCATTCCCCTTGCCCCCCAGCCTGGGAGCTAGCGCCGGGCTTAGTGGTTCATGCGTCTGGAAACCGGTAGGACTGTGGTGTCCCCACAGTCTCCATTATGGGGCAGAGCCTTAGGGAGAACTGTGGAGTGATGCTAGAGTGGCACTGGGCAAACAGTTACCGCTGGCAGCAAAACCGGCGTGGAACTGGGACCGGCCAGGCCGGCATCAGGAAGTGAGGTGCACAGTCCAGGGCTGGAGTCCAGGGGAGGGACCTCCCAGAATAGGATTCTCAGTACCTGCTCAAGAACAGTCCCCCTCTCACCTGCTCCTTCCTCTCTGTCTTCCCACCCAGGGCTCAGGCTTCCGTTGGAAGAATCTCAGCCAGAGTCCCGAACAGCAGCGGTGAGTCACCAGCACCCTGGCCCAAGCCCTGGTCCTAAAGAGTGAGGTGCTGGGGGGCGGGGGGGGGGCAGCACGACACACTGCTGTCAGCCCAGGGGGCGTCACTCTCCCACCCCCCTTCAGCACGGCTCCCTTGCTAGGAGTGAGGGGCAGGTGGGGGTGTGGGCTGTGCTGAGGGGGTGGCAGAGAAAGGAGGTAGGGACTTTTGAGTCATCAGGTGTTCCTCATGCCACCCGCAGTCCCTGCCAGTTACCCCTCCCCGGGGAGATCTGGATCTGGGAGGTGGAGGAAGTAGAAGCCCTCTGACTCCTTTGACTCCCCTGAGGCCTAGCAAGCCCCGAGGGCCCAGACCAGCTGTGTCCAGCTGCTTGAGTCTGGCCGTGCTGGTCCCAGCCTGTGGCAGCCCCTTAGGAAGCATCTGAGGGGAGGGGAAGGAGCAGGCGCTGACCTCGGGCCTCGCGCTGGCCCTGGCCCTGGCCCTGGCCCTTGCAGATTTGGGCCTGGCTTCTAAAACAGATCAGCTGACTACAGCCTGCTCGCTCCATTGGCCTGTTTGGCCCTTGAGCTAAAAGTTGTTTTTACATTTCTAAAGGGTTGTAAAAATAAAAACAAAGAACAATGTACGACACAGGCCGAATGGAGCCCACAAAGGGAGCCTAAAATATTTACTATCTGGCCCTTTACAGAAAAAGTTTGCCAACACTCGCAGCAACCCAGAGAGCGCTGGGGTAACGCGGCACTACAGCCCCCCTCTTCCCCGCCCCAGCTCGCACAGAGGGGGAAAGGCCTGCATTTACAGTGGGGAGGAGTCAGGGCTGGGAGTTGCATTTGGGGAGCATCCGGGTCAGGCTGGGAGCTGTGGGCCTGGGTCTCCAGGGCTTTTCCGAGGCTGAGACTTGAAGGGGCCTTTGGAGACTGCTTTCACTCTGCCCCTGGCCGGGGCGGGAAGGAAGGGGGTGGGGGTGGGCAGAGGAAACTCTGGGCTCCCCCAGCAGGCGAGGATCTGGAGCGGCTCCAGACCATTGTGTCCAGTGGGCAGGCCTTCAGTGCGGGAAGGGGCGGCCTCGAGGCTCCCCTCCCCCCAGCCCCACATCTGGTGGGCTGGCCCCACCGCAGCTGGGAGGAGCGGCTGTGGTCCCGGCAGCCTCGTGACTGGCCTCTGGGGGTGGGGCCAGCCCTCTCCCCAAGGCTGTGGGGCCAGAGAGGCTGGGGTTGGGGCCCGAATTTGGGGCCTCAGCAGTCCAAGAGTGGTCCTGTAGAGCTCCCTGGAAAGCTGCAGGGGTGGCTGAAAAACTCTGGTAGCCCCTTCCGTCTGGGGGGCCCAGCCATTTCCAGTGCCTCCCTCCGGGGGAGGCTAGGTTGATTCTCTGTGGCTCTGTGGGGCTGGGGATCCGGCCGGGCGTTCCAACAACCTGTGGGGAGACTGCACTGTCGCTGGCGGCACTGAGCCCTGGCTGGGTGTTCTAGAGCAGACCCCAGCATCGGCAGAAGACCACGCTATGGGACCGCCAAGCTCCTTTTAAATCCTGACAGTCTTGATGAGATGGCCCCTGTGTCCCCTTGCAGGAAAGTGCTGACTTTGGAGAAGGAGGAGAACCAGACCTTCGGCTTTGAGATCCAGGTGGGAGCAGCTGGGCACAGAGGGGGTGCAGGAGCGGGAAGCCACTCTGACAGATGGCCGGACCCTGCCACGCCCCTGACTGCTGGGCCCCTTGTCTTGTTACAGACTTACGGCCTTCACCACCGGGAGGAGCAGCGTGTGGAGATGGTGACTTTTGTCTGCCGGGTTCATGAGTCCAGCCCTGCCCAGCTGGCTGGGCTCACACCAGGTGAGGCCCGGGCCCAGGACACAGGGCTCTGGGAAGGGGTAGGGCCTTACTCCCAAGCAGAGGGGGTGAGAACTCCCTTCCTCCTCCTGTTTTGAAAAGGCCAAGAAGACTGGATAGTCTGGGCTTCGGATACGGGCAAATTTGCCGTTTACTGGGTGACATCTAGCAGTCCCATGTGCGAAATGGGGGCAATAACATGCCTAGGGGTTCCCTAGGCACAGAGCCAGGACCTGGTAAATGGCAGATGTTGCTGCTGCCGTTTCGTCTGCTCCTGGCAATCTGGCAGTCCAGCCCAGGCAGGAGCCGGGGAAGGTGCGACATTCCATTAGATCTGCTTGATACCGGACATCAGTACCTCTCCTGTGCGACCTGGCCCAACTCTGGGGCATCTGTGTGACTTCCTCTAACAAGGAAGTGGGGCCTCCATTGGGGCGCCCTTGGGATTAGCCAAATCTAGAGTCCCCAGGTCCCGGGAAGGGGACTGAGACTGCGTGACCTGAGCCCCCTTCTATCACCACTTTCTTCCCTAAGCCCTCACCTCCTCGCCCACTCACCAGCAGCCCCCAGTAGCCAGGTGGCATAGTGCAACTTGGCAAAATTTGCACTTTTTCATGTTCACCCTCCCTCCTGATCCCTGAAGTAGCCACGGTAGGGATCTGCACGCCCTTTTTACAGACGGGAAATGGGCCCGTAGAGATTGTGGCTTGCCCTGTCTGAGGTCAGAAGTCCCCACAGTGTAGGGTGTCAGAAGCTGAGGCCTCTCACGCCTGGGGCCACTGTCAGCTCCCAGCTTGGTGCTACTCACCCCGACCCCTTCCTGTCCCGGCTGGGTCTCATGATAGCCTGTGGGCCAGACAGAAATAACCACCTCTGGGGGCGGCCCAGGGTTGCTGAGAGGGCTCAGCCTCTGGGGACACTTTCCTGAGGGTAGAGTGAAGGTGTGGGTATGTGAGGGTCTGGCCCGTATGCTGGGGGGGCTGGGCCAGGCCAGGGTTTCCACAGAGGCACAGGAGTGGTAGGAGGGAATTCAGGAGTGTTCTGTGGAGTTATTGCCCCTAGCCAGAGGGGTAGGGGGCTGGAATTCCTCCATCATGTGCCATGGAACACATGCTCAACCCTTCTCTGCCTGGCAGGGGACACCATTGCCAGTGTCAATGGCCTGAACGTGGAAGGCATCCGGCATCGGGAGATTGTTGACATCATTAAGGCGTCTGGCAACGTTCTCAGGTATGTCTGGGTGCTGCCGTCCTGAGGACTCCTGAGCTCAGCTTCTCCGTGTTTCCACACCCTGTGGGCTCACTCAGCCTCTGCTTTCCCACCCTCAGGCTGGAGACTTTGTATGGGACGTCGATCCGGAAGGCTGAATTGGAGGCTCGTCTGCAGTACCTGAAGGTAGGGCGGCCCAGATAATGTCCAGCGCCCGCTCTCTTCTTCCCAAGCTCCTGCCCCTTCAGCCACCACTCTTTTTTTTTGGGGGGGGGGCTCATTTACCTGCCCGAACATGCGTTTCACCTTAAGATTTCTTCTGTGCACTGCCTGATCCCTCAGTCTATACCTACCTCCTGCTTGTTTCTTGCTAGCTCCTGACAGTGAGGCGGGGGGTGTCTCTTGCAGCAAACCCTGTATGAGAAGTGGGGAGAATACAGGTCCCTAATGGTCCAGGAGCAGCGGCTGGTGCATGGTGAGTAGATTGGGGGTGCCAAGGGTCCCTTTCACCCCTACTCCTATCCCTAGACGTGCTTCCCCTCAGCACTCGTGGGTTACTTCCCTCTCCAAAGTGAAGAAAACGTTGTTGAGCTACTACTCTGGGTACCATATTGCCCTGGGCCACTGCACACACATTTTTAGTTCCTTCATCCAACAGCCTTCTGAAGGTGAGTGTTAGTATCATCTCCATTTTACAGATAGGAACAGCGAGGCTCAGTGAGACGGTTTCAAATCCCTTCCGGGGCTCTAGTGTCACAGCGGTCCTCGTGAGGACTGTAAAATTCCTGTTTTACAGAGGAGGGAAGGGGGGCCGAGGCCAGGGCCCACACGGATGGTCAGGAGGAAGGAGCTGAGGTCCCCGCTCCAGTCCCTCTGACGGCTCTTGCTCGTTGTCTTCTGCCCCCGCAGGCCTGGTGGTGAAGGACCCGAGCATTTATGATACACTGGAGTCGGTGCGCTCCTGCCTGTACGGCGCGGGCCTGCTTCCAGGCTCGCTGCCCTTCGGACCCCTGCTGTCCGCGCCCGGGGGTCCCCGCGGGGGCGCGCGGCGGGCGGGGGGCGACGCGGATGACGCCGTCTACCACACGTGCTTCTTCGGGGGCGCGGAGCCGCCCGCGCCGCTGCCGCCGCCGCCGCCCCCAGCCCGCGCGCCAGGCCCCGGCCCCGCCAAGGCCCTGGCGTCCGCGTCCCGGGCCGCCCTGAGCCGCAGCGCCAGCGTGCGGTGCGCGGGCCCCGGGGGCGGAGGCGGCGGCGGCGGGGCGCCGGGCGCGCTCTGGACTGAGGCCCGCGAGCAGGCCCTGTGCGGCCCCGGCCTGCGCAAAGCCAAGTACCGCAGCTTCCGCCGGCGGCTGCTCAAGTTCATCCCCGGACTCAACCGCTCCCTGGAGGAGGAGGAGAGCCAGCTGTAGGGGCGGGGCGGGCGGGGGAGGTATTTATTTATTTATTCGTTCCTGCCAGTGCAAAAAGGGGGCGGGGGGGGCGGGTGCCGGGTCCGAGGGGACCTCAGGAGCCCTGCGCGGCAGCGGGAGAGGGTCTTTGCCGGCCCCAGTCGGCCTGCCGGTGCCTGGCTGCCTCTGCGGACCGCTGACCCCAGGCCCCGGTACCCTTTACTCCTCCTCCCCTACACCACAGTGGGAGGCGGGGCAGGGAGAACCAGGCGGGCTTGGGTTGGGAGAGGTTTGGGGGCGTTCATCCTACATCCGGGTCAGTAGTGCCTTGTGGGGTGTTCAGGAAAACAACTCCCTTGGAGGGGAGGAACCCTGTCCCACGAAGCCCTCTCCTCAGCTTTACTTGCTCCTCACCCTTGGCTGGGGAGGCAGTGGCCTGCGGCCGGTCGTTCCCCACCCTCCACCCTCCACACACACACACTTCCAGTTAACTGGTCTGTGGCCGGTCGTTCCCCACCCTACACACACACACACACACACACACACACACACACACACACACTCACTCACTCACTCAGTTAACCGGTGGGCCCCTGAAGGGGACTAAGGTGCTGGTCCCCCTCCTTCCCGGCCTTGACCCCTAAGGGCTTGGCCCCCTCCCAGGGGTCTATAACTAAGTTGGGTCCTGCCGGCAGGGGTCCTGGGTTCTCTAACCCTTGGGGGACAGGAATGGGCACGTCCTGCTGGGTGGGGGCAGCACAGACTGTTCAGCATTTTGCATACTGTTGCTTCTGAACCACAAACTGTATAAAATTGATGGTTTTTTGCATCTGTGTCAGCGTGGTGACTGCCTGGTGGGGGGCAGGATTGGGGTCCAGCATGCTCTGACTCAAACAAGCACCCTGCCCCCCAACACCCCCCCCACACACACACACTATATTTTACATCTTATTTGCTTGGAGCCTGCAGCCAGGGAAAGAGTCTGGTGGATTTCAGTTTACATGTATGAACCTGAACTAGAGGCCCCACACCCTCTTCAGAGCTTGGGCCTTTTGTTTAAGTGCATCTTGAACCTCCCTTCCCAAATAGGCACAACAGGTGGTGGCCAAGGCTGTCTAAAGTCCTTCACTATCCCTGTGCAAATAACTGCCTGGAACCTTCTACCCCCAGGGCCCGAGTTGGCCACGGAGAAGACCTTAGATACCAGCCACCCAACCTGTGACAGGCCTACTCACGGCCGACTCCACTGTTCAAGGACACTTCAGCGGGTCCCCAGCACTCCTACAGTAGGGTTATGTGACCCCTGCCCGCCTCATTTTCTTGTTTCCCTTCTTGCTTCCTGCTCTGGCCCCGTTGCTGTACCTGGTACATTTCAGACCCCATCCACCCGAGTCCTCTGCGTTGGCTCTTCTCATAAGTGGCCCCTTCAGTACTCAGCCCTGCCTCCCAAAGGCCTCCACACCCAGTCCAAAATACAGTCACACCTTCCACTGTGGCAGAGCCCTGGCTGTTTCTGTCATACTCCTCACCATCTGCAAGTGTCTTGACTGAAGTGGATTTTGGTGTTTGCCTGGCTCCCCTCCCTGTTAGGACCCACACTCCTCGTAGCAGAGCCCAGAGGCCTTTCCTGTCTTCTCCGCTGCTTTATTTCATGCCTGATGCCAGCTGGTGGAAGATACTAGCTCAAAAGCTATAGTGTGTGCCCACAGCATCCACCAAGAGGTGGACACCACCTTTCTTTGAAGTGACCCAGGGCAAGTGACCTGTCTAGGGTCCTACAGAAAGTAAGCAGCAGAGCTAGGCCTGAGACTGAGGCTCTGTGCCAGTGCCCCTCCCTGGCAGTAACCAGCATGCAGGGGTCTAAGTGGCACCCTCCCCCAGCCAGGCAACCTCCTCCCCTCCCTCTCCTGCACTACTGCACTTGAATGGGCTCCCTGCTTCCCCTCTTGCCCCTGGACCATCCCTTCACATGGTATTAGGGTGAGCTTTCCAGAAAGGAAATCAGATCACAATCCTCCCCACTTCAAATCCATTATGGCTTCCCCCTGGAATAAAAGAATAAAATCCAAACTATTTCCTATGCTTACGCATGATACGTTGTCCCTCTGGGCAGACAAATTACAACAAGGCGTCCCTTCCTCTGAGCTGACAGCAGCCACACAGGTCCCAGAATCTGGCAACTGGGAGCCTTTGTGCAGTGCACAACCTCTGCAATCGTATTGGGATGCCTTGTAGGAGGCCCTCTGGGGTCAGGTCCCTATCTCTCTCTTCAAGCTCAAATTGTTTCTCTTTCCATGTCACTTGTCGTGTTTAAGCCACACTATTCTTCCTAGTCCTAATCTTCAAATATGCCAAGCTCTTTCTTGTCTCTGCCCTTTGCCTCTGCTGTGCTCTCTGCCTGGACCACTCTTCTCTTCTTCAGCCTGAGTCCTCCGTCCTCTGCCATTAGCTTAAACACTTCCTCAGAGAGCTCTCCCAGATCAGCAGTTCTGTGTCCTCAATATTCTTTATCTTGATCCCTCTAGTTATTTATTTATTTATTTATTTTCTTTACAGCACTTACTCCCCATGGGTAACCACACTGACTTCTTTTGGATAGATCTTTGCCTTCCTAAGGCAGGAAGCTCAGCCTTGTTGACTTTGTGCCTCCAGGGCCTAACACTGCTGTGGTACACAGCAGGTGCTCAATAAACAGGAATGCTTCCTTAGGGCCAGGCCAGCAGAGAGTGGACGGCCACTTCCCCAGCTCTCAGCCCTGGGGCAGGGGCAGTGAGGAGGCCCCACCTCTGCTCCAGCTGATGCTGGCAACTACCCTGATATCCCCTTGGGGCTGGGTGTCAGCCCCAGCCAGGGTCCCTGCACCTCCCTCGTTCTTTGATTAAGAAAATGGAGCCTCCCCCAAGCTCCCTGTTTGAACAGCTGCTCTGCAGCCATGACAAACAGCAGCTCCTAGAGGCTCAGGGCTAAGCGAGGGGCCCTCTCATACCTTTGTTCCCAGAGCCTGCAACCGCAGGGAGACCAGCTGCCTGGGCACCTAACTGGGGGTGGGGTCTGCAGGCGCCTCCCTGGACTTTCGCCTCCTGGACTACCCAGCTCCTCTCTGACCAGCCCGTTCCTCCCCTCCTCCCCTGCGGCTGGTCTTGGGGGTGATGTGGGTACCCCTCATCCAGGCCGAAGGGGCTCCCGGAGGAGGCTGAGGGGGTGCCCAGAGCGGGGCTGGATCCCACCTCACAGATGATGGGATGACGGCACCAGCACAGCAGCCTCCTGCCGTGTAGGTGGGTGACAGGGAGTGACTAATGTACGAGCTGCGATGCTAAAAATTAACCCAGGGATCGTGTTTGGTGGAGGGCGGGGGTGGATGGGAAGGGGGCAGGGACAGGGATGGGGAATAGTGTGTGGTTGGTATTCCCCTGCCCTGCCTCCCCTCCTTCATCTCCCATCACCCTTCTGGTCCTCTCAGTGCCTCAGGGGACTCTGTGGGAGCTCTTCCCCGTCCCCAGGCCAGAAGGGGGCCCGAATAACCCCAGGGACGAGAGTGGACGCCATTCTAGGTTGCGACACAGCCCTGCAGATGGAGAGCTGGTCTGAGGTCCCCGCAGAGTTCTGCTTCTGCCCCCATCTCAGCAAGGTGGCGGCAGGCCCCTGAGCCCCCTAGCTCTCCCCGCCCCCCTTTGCCCGGGCTGCGGCTCTGCTCAGAAGTGGGGGGAGGGGCAGAAGTAGCCAGTGCAGAGACAAGGGCAGGTTTCCATTGGCAGGTGGAGTTGGGGTGGGGGGGCAGTGGAGGTAGCAGCTGTACCTGTAGGAAAGGACGAGGGACCATATCCCAGAACACCTCTACACACTGGTACTGTGCTAAATACCTCCAAAGCCATCAACTGCTTAGGCCTCACCGCATATCCAAGAGCCATTTGCTACTGTCCCTATTTTACAGATGAAGAAACTAAGGACTGGAGAGGTTAAGGTAGCATAGCTGGTACCTGGCAGAGCCAGCATTCACTCATATATGTCTGTCTCTAGAGCTTGGATCGGGCAGAGGGAAGGCTTCCTGGAGGAAGGAGTGTGAGGACAGGATGTCAAGTTGGTAAGGAAGCAGGGGGCCCTGGTGGCTCAGTCGGTTAAGCGTCTGACATCTGATGTCGGCTCAGGTCATGATCTCACAGTTCAGTTGGTGAGTTCAAGCCCTGCATCAGGCCCTCAGCTATCAGCATGGTGCTTGCTTCAGATCCTCTGTGCCCCTCTCTCTGCTCCTCCCCTGCACTCTCTCTCTCTCTCTCAAAAATAAACACTAAAAAAAAAAAAAAGATGGTAAGAAACCATTTAGAAGAACTGAACCTCTAAGGCTGTGCAACTCATGTGTGGGCAGGGAAAGTGGGAGCAGGGAGGGCGGATGAAACGTGGGACCTGAGGGAGCAGCGTCTGATATATACCCGAGAGCAAAAGGAGATCAGGTCCAGAGGGATCAAGGCTCCATGGATGTGGGTGCTATGCTGGAGTGAGGTGAGAACGTTCCCATCAAAAGATGGAGGGGTTCTTGACACTGGGTTCTGGGGGCCACAAGAGGGGCTTGGGCTTGGAGAAGAGCTTTGCTGACACACATAAGAAAATGCGTTAGAAGGAGTAATCCATAAGGGTGCCTGGGTGGCTCAGTCAGTTAGGTGTCTGACTTCAGCTCTGGTCATGATCTCACTGTTTGTCAGTTCGAGCCCCATGTTGGGCTCTGTGCTGACAGCTCAGAGGCTGGAGCCTGCTTCAGATTCTGTGTCTCCCTCTCTCTCTGCCGCTCCCTAGCTCACGTGTCCTCTCTCTCTCTCTCTCTCTCAAAAAATAAATAAAACATTAAAAAAAATTTTTTTAAAGGGAGTAATCCATAAACATTCCCATTTTGCTTGGAGACAAAACCAGAGAACTCAAGCTGAATGGCGGCAGGAGAAGAGATAGGATAGTAGAGTGAGCACTTTCTGCTCACCAGTCAGTCCTAAAACTGGGGGGAAGTGAGAGGCTGTGGGAGTCCCCACGGG